CCAATTTAAACCGTTTTCATCCTCTGATGAATATAAATGATGGGTTGAACTTGGTGCAATACTATGTTCATTGCAAATATCATTTTTTAATTCTTCTATTCTAGTTCGATGACTACGATAGATTTGTTTTGTTCTCGCATTCAAACATCTTGATTCACGAAGTCTTAATGGTATAAGAAATGTTTCAATTACAATTTGATCTTGACCTTGTGGAATTGCTTTACGAATTATTTCGGGACCATTTTGTTTATATGTCTGTGCTAAGTCTTTATAGAGTTCATATGGAATGAAGGTATAATCATTTCCTTCGATAGCATCTGAACGAAGTTGTATTTCATTTGAACTATCCAGTGTTGTTTGATCCATTAACTGTATAAAGTCTATTGGACCTGGTTTAGTGACTTTTTCTTCATCTGATTTTTCGATACCAACATAGCGCTTCCAATGTTCTAACCATTTAATATCAACAATCACATATATATCATTGACCTGTGGCTCCTTTGTAAGTAATCTTTCATATTTTTCCAATGGATTTGACGACATTACGATATTTATTACTTTTCTCTTTTAGAAAAGTAAAATAATGTACGAAAGAAAATATATAAAAACAAAAAGGAATGACGACAAGTTGAGAAATAACTCAGGTAATAACTCGTTGAATCACAAAACAAGTAAATTATTTGGAGTAAAGAATATTTCTAGCTAAAGGAATGAAAACGAAAGTAAAATATTGACGCATGATGACGAAAGAAAGCAATGTACTCATGCAAGAATCGTAAAAGAAAACATTCACATCATCACTGAGCGATGTTTACTGGGATAAAAACAATATGAAGCGTTTTTTCTTTGGTTATTTCTTTTTTAAATGTTTATTATCATATACATATACACAGAGTATAAAGTTGATCATAATGATTATTAATACAAGTATAGTGAGACAAAAAAAAAGATTTATTCAATATATGCATATGTCCTAGGCAAAATTAAACATAGGCAAAATTGATTTGTAGTTAGGCGCGAAATGATGAAATTATTTTCTTTCATTTGAAAATAAATTCAAATTTTCATTTTGATTAAGAAAACAGAATACATTTAGTCTTTTAATTAAATAAACTTACTTTGTTCATTTCTCATCGATTCATACTCTTTGGAAATAACCCAACACCAGATTCTGCTTCGTCTCCAGTGTCTTTTTATCCACAGATTTGTAAACAAATCATAAAAATACCTCACGACAAGCACGATCGATAACGTGAAATACATAGCTAACAAGACTTTATAAGTAGCTGCATTATTTTTACATTAATATCTTAAAATCCTAATGTGTGTGGTGAATTAACTAATCTAGAAATAGTCACACATGAGGAAACAAAAGAAAAGAAGGTCAGAAGTTCAGGAAGATATCATACAAGCGAAGTATAACGATTAATGACCGTTACCTTAGATAAGAGAAATACTTATCTAGTAGATTTGTGGCAACCTATAAGTATCTTCACTATCCTCTGCTCGAAAAAATCAATAATGTGAATGAAATAGGTGATAAGTATTTAAATAGCTATGAAGATGTAGAAGTAGTTCTGCGAGATTGAATAGCCATTAAACACATTACCCGAAAACTAGAACTAAGTAACTACTGAAAATCTTTCTCTTTGTCGTTACTTAAAGCTATTCATATGAGCAAATTGTATCTCTTTTGAGAATGAACTATTTTTAAAAACAGACAAAATAACATATTCATTTATTGAGTATTAATTGCCGAGTGAATACCTTTGCTATTATACTATGAGAAGACATAAATTAAAGTCTTTGGTTAGTTTGTTGAATGCAATAGAGCTTGGTTAAACATAATAACGTCTTCTATATTGTTTGCATATTATCCATGAACAGTATTGTATTCGAAGGGAAACAGTTAGGTATCGATGAGAATTGATGTCTGATTATAGAGAACATCCTTTCTTTTTTTTCTTTTTTTTTTTGATCGGACTGCTTACGGTCAGCTCAATGTCAGTAGAATATATTAGCGAACAGAGATATGCACAGCGCCTAAAAAAATCAGGCGGAAGCGGCGCGGAAGACGATGTAAACCTTAATGCAATGACGGAGGTGGCTACCAACCACAAGCCTCTTTGAGGAGCGACGCGGCCGCCTTATGATACCTGAACAATTATTTTTCTCAATCTTTTTGCAACCTTATTGCACTAGTATTTCTTTATAAATAATGCCTCATTCCATGACAATTACCTATGAACAAAACTACACAAGTAACAGAAACTTAAAAATATACTCAATTTAACTAGATATAGATACTGATATGTCACCGATTTCTGTATTAATTTTTTCTACACTTAAATTAGGGTAAAATCAAGTTCAAGATTAATTTACGTCTTATGGTTCTTTCGATAAAATTCATTAAATTTGAGACAGATAGACTTGATATTACATTCATTTTTAATGAACATGGATTACGATTTAATTAATACTTAGGTCATACCAAAAGTCTTGACGGAGCTACGTCAATTTCTTATAGAATGCTTGAAGAACTTTTCTTTCTATATAGACTGATAGTAAAAACAAAGCTCTACATTTCTGCACTATTTGATCATTATTCATCTAATATTATAATAATAAAATTTCCATTAGAATTGTTTAGCTATGATATGTAACAATAACATTAGTCCATATTGTCTTCAATGTGGGTGTGAGTGTGGGTGTAGATACGGTTGAGTGTGAGTGTAGGTTTCACTTTGTGTTACTGTTAGCGGCTAGCCCAGGTAGGATTATGTATTTTCTTTTTCGTTCTCTTTCTTCTTGTTAGTTATTTCTTTGATGTGATATATTTCAGGTCATTTTTCTCTAAACCCCTTCCCGTAATAGAAGACTCCCCCCCCCCCCTATTAGTGGACCTCCCATAATAGAAGACCCTCCTGGACAAAAACTTCATCGAGCGTATTAAAAGACCCCCCTTTAATTAATTAATTTTTTGCTAATAAGAAACTTTAATTAGGAAATTTTCGTCTAGAAGTGCACAGTTTTTAAGTTTTTCAGCTGGGAATATTTAGAAAGTGAGTCGTAATGTATCCCTCAGCTCTCAAAACCGTGGAAATTCCTATGAGAGCCCTGAAAATCGCTCTGGCTTTCTAGAAAACCATATTTAGTTAATAATTGCTAAAAATACATAGGACATAATAGAACACCCCCTTGAGAAAGTTTTACGACGAGACATAATAGAAGACCAGGAGTCTTCTAATGCGGGGAGCGGTTTATTCTATATTTCTCTCATGTTTTGAACCCTGGATCTAGTTCATACATATATATATATATATATATATGCGCATTTCTTTCTGTTCTAGTTGGTTCGTTATGTAGCTTAGTTGCTATGTGTGTGTGAGTGTGAAGATGTACGTGTGTGCTAGGACATTTTTGATTTAGTGAAAACACAAGGAAAAGACCAAACACCTTTTTCCCTTAACAGTTACGCTCATACACCAAGCCCACACTCACACCCACATTGAAGACAATATGGACTAATGTTATTGTTACATATCATAGCTAAATAATTCTAATGGAAATTTTATTATTATGATATTAGATGAATAATGATCAAATAGTGTAGAAATGTAAAGCTTTGTTTTTACTATCAGTCTATATAGAAAGAAAAGTTCTTCAAGTATTCTATAAGAAATTGACACAGCTCCGTAAAGACTTTCAGTATGGCCAAAGTATGTATTTCACTATCCAGGGAAACATGTATATATGTATATAGTGGCGGACGGTAAAGTGGTTAAATGTCGAAGGAAAAATGTCGAAAGACAAAATGTAGAAAAAAAAATGCCGAAAGTAAAAATGTCGAAAAGCAGGATGTCGAACAAAAAAATGTCGAAAGTTGTGAATGTAGAAAAACAAAATGTCGAAAGCGAAAATGTCGAAAGTGAAAATGTCGAAAACACTAATAGCATATATTTAGTCATCTCTTTTATTGACAAGAATTTTAGCAAATAAAGCACAAGTCAAAAACTATTCCAAAAAAATAGAGATGAAGAAACATTATATGAATAGATTAAGATAACAAAATTTGACAATAAGGATAACTATTTCAAGAGAAGAAAAAGAGACAATGAATAAATTAAGAAACAGAACTCGGCAGTTGAATATAATATTGAAAAAGCTATTTTCAATTCATTTTTTTTTGTTCATATCTTTTGGGACGATCAGTGACAAACCTTCGAGGTATTCATTCAAATCAATTTCATTATTTGAAAAATGTCTGCATAAAACATCAAGACGTTCTTGGATGATGCAAGTTCTTTTTGACTTTTTCTTGAGCAAATCGCTTTTAGCATGAAGAAGTTGCTGTTGAAAATGAACTTCTTCTTTCTTGAGTACATCAATAAAATGCCAAATATTAGGATATATATTTAACCTTGGGACATGACTTGTTTAACTGATATATAAATCCATCGCAAATAACCACACGTTTGCCTTTGTTACTTTGTGAAAAAGTTATGATAGGTGTATTACTCATGTTGACATAAGTAAAAAATATAGAAAACAACTTGATAAATGTCTGTAGAAATGAACGCGAGCTGCTATATATATATACAACTCAATAATTAATCAATATCGTTAGATTCTCTTAGCGAGACAATGCATCGTCAGTTGATAGAAATTTATTTGAAGACGTCATGGACGTCTCTTTATTTCATTTTTCCCTTTTCGCCATTTTTTCTTTCGACGTTTTATTTTTCGTCAATACGCTTTTCGACATTTTTACCTTTCGACATTTTCATTTTCGCCATTTTTCTTTCGACATTTTCACTTTCGACATTTTTTTTTTTCTACAATCTGCTTTTCTACGTCATGTTTTTCTACATTTTGTCTTTCGACGTTTTCCCTTTCGACATTTAACCACCTATTCGTGGCGGACGACTAGATGAAAGAAGAAAAAGAAGATATAGAAGTGAAATCAGCGCAAACATGAAAACAAAGAGAGATGAAAAAGAAAGAAGAAAATAAAAGAAAAAAAAGATAATGGTATATATGAGGGGATAGCCCATAACAAGTATTATAGAAAAAAGAAAGAAAGAACGAATCAATTAATACTAGAGGAGACTTTTATTGGTATAAAATATCGACAAATACATCTATACATCTGTAAAAAAAGGTAGAAACACAAAGAGAAGGATAAATGTCAGAGTGACAATGTGGATGGACAAAACTTCAGCCCAATAGAACGATATACTATTTCAGAGAAATAGACAATGGCAACGAACTATATATCTAATACGTGTGACGAAAAGACTTAAAAGAATAAGGAAAAAGATATGAAGGCGTAGCCTATAACGTGTATTATAACTAAGATGTTCCGACAATTAAGAACTATTAGAAGTAGAATTTAATGAAATTTGGTTTCTCTTAAGAATAATTATCCTGTGTTGCCACTTTGCTTTTTTACTTTTAATTTAGCATAAAAAGTACACAGATGTCGTCCGAAGACATTAAAACTGACTTTATTTTTTTGAGATGCGACCTAAAAAAAATTGGCA